TAACCATGTATTTCATATTTAAATTTATAAATCCTATGTAATTTTTTTTCCAGAAGTCCAACTTTAGTAAAAAATATACCTACAAGTTTGGGCTATGGAGCAGCTCTTAATGCCAGTTTGCAGGTAATATCATTAAATACATGTTGCTATTATTGTCCTCTTTGGATGTTTGGGTACTTTATTGTTTGGCATGCTTTCTACTAGGTGAGATTCTGATTGTTCTAAATAGTTGGTTTATCATCCAAGGAAGTTGTAGTACCTAGTACTATGGAAAGCACTGATTCTTATTCAAGCTACTTTTGATGTGAAGAAGCAAGAAGGACACCCTGTGGCAAAATCTGGAACACTCAGTTTTCCTGCAAATGCTAGATTGATAGAAGCTTTTGCAAATGCATGTGGCTATGCATTAATATTTATCCAGGCTGTCATAAATGATTTCACATCATAGTGTTGGGGAACATGGTGCTTGTGGCAAAAACTTTAAAGTTTAATTATAATATATAATTTTTATGCAGAGGAGGCAAATGTCAGGACTTCTTTATTTTGAGTTAAGTTCTGGTCATTTTTAAAAAGCAGAGCAACTGCTTATATTATCCTAGAGTCTTTCTGAACACGTGAGGAATCAACATTTCATTATGCAAAAGGTTAACACATGAGTGTGAAAGTTTGCTGTGGGAGCTAATGTTTATATGTTCACATCACATTAATGTCCTTGCTATCTCGACGGCGAGTGGCCATTTCGGAATTTTTGTCTTTCCATACATTTTATTTAAGTGCTTCTGAAATGTCTGTAATGCAGTGTACAAGCGCTGAAGAGAGGGAGATGTGCTGCCTCAATGATGTCCGAGGGCAGGTGTGCTAAAGCTGTCTTGCTCCTTGTCCATCCACTAGGCTGCCTTGGCAGAGAGCAGTTTGCCTTTGTTAAGTAACCCTGGACTGATCAATAACGCCTCCAGTGGCCTCCTGCAGGCCGTCCATGAAGACCTCAACGGTTCCCTGGACCACATCGACAGCAATGGGAACAGCAGTCCGGGCTGCTCGCCTCAGCCACACATGTAAGTGTGGTTAACAACAGATTCCTGAAAGGGATGAAAATATGTTCTCATGCTGCTGAATTTGGTATTTTTTTCTGAAGTTTACCATGGTGTTTGAGTAAAATCATAAAAGTTTAAGTAGAGTTGTCTTGTACCATGTCCATAATATATAAAGTAAATTGTTGTTCACACATCTTAGAGATTATCCCAAGTGCCTTATTTAGTGTTGATGGTATTCTTCTACAAATTCCTAGAACTACTAAAGCCTGTGGGGCATTAATTGCTGCCTCTGAAGAATCTCCATCTTATGGGTCATTATCACAGTTTGGTTTATATGGCATAATATGAATATTCGTGATAGGGTAAGTTGTCATAACTTTTACTACCATTACAGGACTCTAAACCATTTATGAACTGTAGTCAAGACATTGCCCATTTTTATAAAGCGTAAAATGCAAAGTTTAACTGTTACCCACAGTTTACACAGAAGCTGGTAAAGTGTAACTTTTTGCCTGTCTTATAAATCAGTGTAATTACATATTCAAGCTTAATTACTGGAGCGTCTGTATTGGCAAGGTTTATATGTTATATTTTATGCAAGACTACGATTCCTATTAATATTTAGCAGCTAACTATATCATTAATTACTCTAAAATCTTTCCCCTACCATCTTTTTAATGGAGCTGAGAGAGGAGAAGTATTAAAAATTGATGTATTGTGGATTTCAGGAAGGTGTATGACACTGTTTTAAATGCCAGGTCTTATTCAGTAGTGTCAGGCATATCAGTTTTTTGTTTACTAAAATGTACTGACCCTGACAAGAATGAGCATTCCTGGAGAAATAATTAAAGCTGAGTGATGAAGTACATGTGCTTCTTAGCTGGTCGGATGACGTTCACATGTTTCGGCTAGCCTTCCCTGAGTTACTCTGAGAGTTACTTAGATTATTATTGATACAAGATCACTCCTTGCCTTCATTTTTATAGTTTATCCTTTGTGATTTTTCTTTGATCTTTTGTTTTGCTCATGAAACACTGTCTCACATTGCAGCACAGGCTCAAGCTCCCATCAGTCCTGTCTCAGCCTCCCAAGTGCTGCTGGGATTGCAGGCACATGCTACCACACTGGACTCTCTTTATCCCCCACTAAGGGTCCAGTCAAAGCTCGGAAAGAGACATAGAACCCTGCTATGTACCCATTTTTATTTGACCTTTCGCAAGTTATTATTTTGTTGATTTTTAAAAGACCTTCCCCTGACAGAGGATGTCTATGAGACCGTCCGCCTAATTGATGGATGGTACTTCCACTCCATCGTCTTTGCAGAACACAGCGCGGTCATTAAAGTGTTTCTTCAGATTCCAAGCCATTACTTCTCCAAAATGGAAAAATCTGTCTTTTGGAAGTGTCTTTAGTTGTATTAAATAATACAAAAGGAGTGATAAAACCCCAAGTAAAAAGAACATGAATATATGCTCTCGAGACTAGCCGTACTCTAAGCAAGGAGAAGGAGCAATCAGACAAAAGTTTTACATCCTGCATCATCACCCTGTCAGCCATGCCGTGGTAGCTGGAGGCTTTTCCTTTCAGTTGCTCTCCTGGCTGTGCTAACGCTCACTCTCTATGCAAATGCTAAAGGAATTCATCTTTAAACACCCAACAAGAGTTAGCTCCTGGTTTTCTGCATTTAAAAAGGGGGAGCTTATATGAAAGGCATGAGTAAAGGCAGTGTGTGAACTGTGGGTGCTTCTTCCCTTGCTCCCATGCAGTATGTAGATGCTGACGCAAACCACGAAGAAGGAAGAGATTTTCACAAGTTTAATTGTCCAGTGCTAAGAATATTAGAATAAAAAATTAATGACTTAATAAAATAGTTTATTAAACACTGTATTTTAGAACCTGAAATAATAATTTGACTAAATAATGGCTTTGTTGAGTCCATAGTATTTTTCATTTGACAATTGGTAGTTCCAATCATTCAGTTTATTGTTAATTTAAAGTTTAATTATGAAATATCTAAAAGAAATAGTAGTATGCAAAAATATTAAAATATATTTGATTTTTTCATATACTAGCATTATCAGTTTGTGCAAAACTCATTCAGTTAGTGAATTCTGTATGCTATACTGACATGAACCAACACATAAAAAATATCTGCATTTCTTTTCCATAGATGAAACAAAAGCCTCCTTTTCTTTGTAGGAAATAGATTTCAAAAAAGTTAAAAATTAGAGGAATCCCTTACCTTGCCTTTTCCAGAGTCATATAAATGAAAATCAAGTTTGTAATTATCCTGCAAAATATTGAGTCAACATTGATACTTCCAATCCCTCTGAGTTGCTCCGTTAGCTTTCTGTGGTCTGTTCAGGTATTAGCAGATACCAATCCAGCATCCCACATCGTCAATTCCATACTTCCAAAGTGTTTGTTTGTATGAAAAGAACTGTAAGCATCTTGTGTTTATTATGAAGCAAGGCAAGGGAGAATTATTGACATGATTCTACCAATTAAAATTTGCTTGCATCTAACTGAATACTGTTCAGAGAATTTTGAGATTGAATAGAAATAAAAAAAACTTATTTTATATAAAATATTTACATAGCAATTATGTGTGTGTGTGTGTGTGTGTGTGTGTGTGTGTGTGTGTGTGTCCCTGGGTGAATTCAAATTACATGCTGTTTGGGAGCGACTAGTTATACAGATATTAGTATGAAAGAGAGACAGTGCGGCTCAACCTCATCAGATTGTTACTGCTCCAGCATCAGATGTTGCACTACCCAATGGGAATGAACAGGTTCTTTTTCCTTGGTTTATTTTTCTTCTTCTTTTCCCCCTCCCCCAAACTCTTAGTAATGCCTACCTTGTGAGATTTATGCAAATAAACCGAGTTCCTGGAGATAATGATGCTTCTCATGGAACATCCCTACTTAGGCACTGATTGATAGGACTGATTGTAATGTCCCATTGCTATCTTAAGTGAGACTTAACACAACACAAAACACACTTTGCAGTTTTAATACTTTCTGTCCGCTAAACTACATTTCTAGATCGTTTTCCAAAAGAGTATCTTTTCTTTGACTCTAACCTCTCTCATAGTTCCTGAAGTAAACACCCCATTAAAAGTGAGCAAATAGAGGAATTTATGGAGCTCATTGCTCACAATCAGTGGGCAATGGGATTAGAGGCATAAGAAAATACTAACTCAAGTTGTTGGCAGTGAACAACCTTAACAGAGAAAATACCAATCCAGAATTAGTCATTCATGTGCCCAGAAACAGGAAGAATTGGGTTGGACAGAAATTTTGAATTCCTAGGTAAATACAGAATTTAAAATATATGAAGATGGGACCAAACTACTAAGTTACTAACTAGCAAGTTATGGTATTGTATTTGTCAGTGTGGAGCTTGGTCAGTGTTATGGGCTTGGGTTTGGTGTAGTCAATGTCTGCTTTGGAGGCAAACTCTCTGAAATCATATTGCATGCACTGTAGTTGACAGCAGTAATATCAGGATGTTTTTAATTAGGACATCTGGATGAGTAAGAGTAATTCTAGTAGGTTCTAGTAACTATAGTATCTGCCTTAAATTAAATGCAAGGAATGGAGGAAAACAATGAATTAATCTAAGAAGTCTTTTAGCATAAAAATGAGAAAGGCACCTGACTCCGTTCTAAGAAGAAAAAAAGCAAAGCTCATGGCCACTCTAAGATTCACTGCAAAATAGAAAACAGAGCCAAAATGAAAAGTGATAACTTCATACTTTTGCTTATGGAGTCAAAAAAATTAAATGTCCTCAGATTCTGTGGGTAACAAAGACATGAGAAATGCATAGTTTGCTTAGATTTTCCATTCAGTTCCTTAATAGTGATGTGGTTGAATGTGAATGTATGCTTGAAGTTGCCAGAGATATGAATCATTTCCCTAAATATTCCACTCTTCTTCCTAATACTGTTCTTACACTAGAAAATTTGTTTTTGCAAAAGAAAGCTTTTCCAAATAAATCCATTTTTCTCTCAGATTGTCTGCTTTTTAACCCTGTATTTTGCTTCAGTGTTGTCTTACATAAATTCTTCTTCTCCTTTTTATAATGATTCTTTTTCCCAGGAGGTTTTCCCAATTAATTTTTCTGTCAGAATTGAACTTCAGACTCTTGCTTCTAACAGAGTGGCTCCCCATTTCATTCCTGAATGGATATTATTGCATCTAGATGTGCAGGAGTCAGGCATGCTCATTCTGCAGATAACCCTAGGTTAAGGCCAAGGTTGTTAAGAATGTATGATGTTTTAGACATATGGCCAGGTCATTGAAAACAGCTTAGCTATACAAAGCACTGCCTACAGGAATTAAATTCATGACCTTGCTAGATCCCTGAAAAAGGAAAATCAAAATTTTAGAACAATAAATAGCATTAAGTGGTGTAGGGATCCAACCTCCCGTCCTCAATCTTGTGTACCCAGCACTTCACCAGATAACCTATCTCCTCAGCCCTTTAAACCTCCATTTCCTAGCACTATCCAAAGAGTTTTCAGACCGTCCCACTTTATGAACAAGTGTAAAGGATGCTTTGACTTTATATATTTATTTTTTAAATTATTTATAAAGTTCGATTGATGTTGTGATTACGCTGAAGTAGTGTGAGCATACTGTCGTCTCACGTGTGTTAAATTAGAAGAGAGAGAAATATTCGAACCCAAACTGAAAGGCGAAGCCATACTGACAGAGGTAGTCCACATGGTTCCTTTACCCAACCCAAGGCAAGCAGTGGTGCCACGATATGATGAAGTCCAATAATCAGCAAAGCCTCACTGTTTCTTCTTTAAGCACTGATTGCTCCCCATTCTCAATGAGTTGGCTCAGATTCACCTTCTCTTGTGCAGTCTTAAATGAGACCCTCATTTTTTCATTCTCCAGCTCTGTATCTAGAGATCAAATTAATGTTCTTCCTAAGTTGTCTCTGCTAAGGCCATTCATCTCAAAGATACTCATTTTCATGGGGGTTTCCTTCTGATTATTAGTGTTTTCCAC